ATACSTAACACTTGGTAACGACACTACACTAAATGGCATTATGTGATAAATCAAATAAGGTCTTCTAGACCTCTCTACTCCCATCCTGTATTAAGAAAAACCCGTAAACTTTTACCCTATTTCGTGACCTACATTAAGTAATAGTTCCAACAATGGAAATAAATTATGTTTAGTTCCAAAACTCCAAGAGTTAAATGTAAGATTTGAAAACAAATTATTAAATTGCATATGTAATAAAATAAATTTGTCAACATTTTGGTATAAAACTAACAGGAAAATAATTTCAAACTATGTTATTAGAAACGAATAATAATTAATTTTTAATTTAATCAACTCATTGTTTGATTAATATTTATTTAAAAACATTGCCATTATTAGATGTTTTTAGAGGATGTGAGCGCAATATTTATTTTCTCTCATAAACCAAATTGATAAAAACCTTTCACCAAAAATCAATTTTTTAAATTTTGAGTTATTTTTGAGTAAAATCACAAAAATACAAAAATTAGAGACGATAATATTTTTGAGAGATTGACATCAGTTGTATTCTTATTTGACTTTCTAACCAACATTAAAAAAAAAAAATTTTGAAATTGAAATGGTGAAAAATTGTTGTGTTTATACCTCCAATACTTTATAATAATGTACTTTATAATTTTTATAATGAGTGATTTTACACTAAGATTACTCAAAAACACAATTCTGCAAAAATACATTTTGTCCGTGTTGCTTGTAGGATAGAATCAGTTGAAAGAGAAAATAAACAGAGCGCTAATACCCTCTTAATGGCAAAGAACTATACAGTAATGCCTAATACAGTGGCGGTTCTTGACCAATTCCAAGGGAGGCAAAATATTTTTCACATTAAATACAATAAGTACTCAAAAATAGAAGTCATAACAAAATTTATTAATTGTCATAATTTTATATTTAACCAAGGGAGGGGGCGTGATCCACCCTTCCCTCCATAGGACCGCCRCTGGCCTAATGGTATATATTATATATTATATGTGAAGTTGATAAATATATTGAATTAAAACACAACTAAATAAAGTTTAATTTAAAAACAATTAATTTATTATTTTTGAATATTAATAAAAAACAATACATTTACTTTATCTTGAATACAAATATAGAGCTATAAGTTAAGAGCAAATTTTTAGGTTTATAAAAGCTTAAAATATGGTGCTAATATGCTCTAAAAAAAACTAAAATATTCTCTTAATATTCCTTAACCTTAAAAGTATGTAGACAATTTTTTTTAGTAAAATAGTTCAGTAAAAACAATAAATAACCGTTATGCATCATTACTTAGGTAACAGGTAAACATTTAAAAAAAATAAAAATGTGTTGATTGAATGATTTTTTATTTTTTAAATTCTTAAATCAAATTTTTTTTTGGCCAAGAAAAATCATAGTTTGATAAATTAACAAAATATATMATTTTTTTACCATACTAATRAAATAAAATTATAATAGAATATATTCTAAAATATGAAAAAAAAAGACTAAAATATATTATGTCATGTCCAAAATATGCAAAATATATTTTTTTCAACAAACTCTATGGTGGATAAATTGTCCATATTTTTCATCCTCATAAAGTTGCATAAAGTCAATACAAATATGTAAAAACTTTAAGATCAGCTTTCTGGTTATAACTTATAACTTACTGTACTACAGGCTACGGCATAAGTCGGTTCCTCAATTTACACAATAAAGAAATTACAAATAATAAATGTTTATTGTTTATAGATTTATTAAATATTATGGATTAGGTATAGATTTTATTTATATAATCCTATATATAATACCTGCTGCCTTTATTATAAGTGCAAAATGCAGTTTATCGATAACAAGATAGCGGGAACCGACTTATGCCTCACTCTGTATATTGTTGTAAGCAAAATTGCCTAAGTCAACAATTTTGAGAAAACYTTATTAGTTATTTTGTATAGATTAGATAGTAGGATTTACAGCATATTAGTTATTTTGAATCCGGACATTTTGGCGTACTGCTGTTTTGGTGTGGGTCTATTTCAGCAAATAGTMATTTTTTTCATAAAATTATTTTAATCGCGTTTAGATAATATAATGTTAGCATTTATTTCACTTTCGCCGGTGCCATATGAACTATATATAATAATAATAATAATAATAATAATATATATATATATATATTATACTGATAAGTGATAATCTATATAACGGTATAAGTAATAAAGATATAGGTAGTTAATCTATACGATGTATCGATAGACGATAATTGAGTAATACAAGATAGTCAAGTAGTCAGTAGTTATAGAAGTCACCATGGCACAAGCAATCAAAATTTTAATAAGTTTTTAAACTTTTTAAACAGGCAAAAGTTCACAAAAAAATAATACATTGAYGTTGATAAACGTATTTTAAAATTAGTCAGCGATTATGATAATCGTAATATTATGAGTTTTTTAAGAGGAATAGCACATAATTTAAGTATGATGACCTGAATATTTTTATTCATAATTTTTATAGCATTTTCTTAAACATAACTAATTATTATATACAGTTTTTATACAAAAATAATAATAWAATAAATATAATTTTTATAGCATTCTCCTTATTTTAAATTATTTATATATTTATATTTTATAGTGACCTACCTAATTTCTTAAAATGGTCTTACGGCCATACGCCGAAATGTCCTACATCAAGTTTTACTAAAGAAGGTATTGTAYATGCTTTATCACAAACAAAACCTGGAGAAATTTAAAACAAAGAAATTGAACTCAAGCCACAAACAGATACTGAAAAACCTATCAAGATCTTTTGAAATGAGAGAGGCCCGACGAATATTACGAAGAGGAGTGCGAMAACACTTATCCAATTTTGAATTACAATACAAACATTTTATCAATGATCTTTTAACRGTAAAAAAACATAGACATCAATTAAAAAATGCTATCTACTGTTCACGTTAGTAGTAGTTAATATTTATTTACATTTTATTTTATTTTTTAACAATTTTAAATTTTGTATACCTACATAATATGTACTTTATTTAGTAATCAATAATAATAAATTAAATAATTAAATTTTTTAATTACTATATGTATATCAAATTAAACACTAGGTACATTATTATTATTTTTTCAACTTTCGTTAGGTTTCGTTTAATATTATCAATTGAATTATGTTATCAGTTATGTCCCGTACCAAAGTGATTACATTAAGCGGCGACCACTGTATTTGTTTTGACATAATTTTTATATTTTTCTTATGGTTCTCATGACTTATGGTGTTAT